TGTGGTGCTTTTTCAAATTCAAAACTTGGCAATACTGCATTTTGATCGAGACTTCCTCTTTTTCTTGTCGAGTTCGTCTTGCTCTTTCATTCTGGTATTTGTTGACGTCACGGCCTGTTGCTCTCAGCTCGATTGGCGCAATCTTGTATTCTATCATTCTTGGACCCAGATGGATTCTAACATTACAAAGTTGTTTTTGTTAAAATTGCAGATAGAGGCTATTGAATATAAGCCCTAAATATTAGATTGTTCTACAAGCTACTTGTAGAAAAACTCGAGCAAAGTTCAAACTGTGAGCGTATATCAAAGAAACTCTAAAGCTTACTTGTGGAACGCGTATGTGTAACTCGAAGTTACTTCGAGTAGCTTGTGGAACAAACTTATTAACGCAACTGGTACGTATCGACCCGACGATATTCCATTCAAGGATTGATATTTTTTTGTATTGATTTCTTAGGCATATCAAACATTATCTGAAACATGTCAACTACAATTAAATTATCTTCTTACTTTTTACAGTACAGTTTAAGGAAGTTACAACGTTATGTAAAAACCTTAAGAAAATCCTAAAGTTTTTTGTTTGAATTGAGAATTCAGTACAAATCAGTACAAATTTTGAAAAATCAGGACATTAGCGTACTGATTGAAGAAATTAATAAAATCAGTACAAGAGTTGAAAATCAGTACTGTACGATAAAATCAGTACGTCTGGCAACCGTACCCTAAAGGTACCACCTTTCCGATGAAAAAAAATTATCTACATCGGTCGTCCAAAGTTATGCGGTAACATACCTAAAAAAAAATATTCCGACGAACTGATAACCTTCTCCTTTTTGTGAAGTCGGTTAAAAAGTGCGAATGTATTGCTATTGTATTTGCAAAATTGATTTGTTTAAACCCCAAGTACGCGGTCATAAAAAACAGCCAATTTTTGTTTGCAAAATGTTTGGTGGATCCAAAATGGCGACCAACTTAAAAAAAATTTATTGGATTTGTTTAAAACTCTTAAACGCAATTTTTAATTTTGAAAATCTGACATCAGATTCATAATCAGCAAGCTCAGAAACGTACTGGAAACGAAATTCAACCCTTGACAATGTTTAAAACGTTCAGTATCAACGTTTTACTTTTAGTGTTTTTTTTTTAATTTGATCGCCATATTGGATCCGTTATTTCGAATTTAAAAAAATTTACTTCAGGTTCGTAATAGGCGACCACAAAAAGTCTCGAGTGCCGGGTTTCGATCAAATCCAATTATTAAAAAAATGGATCGCCAATTTGGATCCAGGATAACGTATGTATATTATTAAATACTTCTACTTGTACGAAGACATGACTTCAACGAATGTTAAAAGCATGGCTGAGAGAGCAATGAAGTGGAGACAGAATTTGAAGAAAGATGAAAAAAAGTGGACGGAATATTAAAAAGGAGAGATCGGAACAAAAAAAATTTATAGAAGTAAAATAAAATATGATCATATCATGGCAAAAAAGCACCAAGATGTGACTAACTTACGCAAAAGAAATTCATTGAAAACAAAAAACAGGGATTAGTTTCTGTGAATTTTGGCAAGTATAATATATACCAAAGCGCCACATGGTTTTCATGGTAAAAAATATCAGCATTTTAAAAAGGAATTCAGGGATTTCGACACTAGCAAAACAAAATTTTATGCGAGCAGACCAAGCCCAACGAAAATAAGTTCAATTGACACTATTTCGTATACTGTTGCGAAATAAAGTCAATTGACATTATTACCATTTCACCCTCTAGCTACTCAGGCCTTAATTGCTTTGCTTTATTTACAATAGAACCTCATATTTGCATTAAAAACGAGCCTAATATAGTTTTTATGATGGAAAAGGTGTCTTCAAACGGAACATCCGTAACGCAGGAAACACCTATATCGAAAAACGGAGAACCAAATCGATCGTGATAGGCAGAAGGCACGTTTTCAGTGTTTTAGACGTACGTACACTCCGAGGGTCAAACATCACCTCAGAAAACTATCTTCTTGCAGCCCAGATGCGCACAGCCTCTGTGCAGCAAAAAAATGTTTGCATCCAGAAATGAAAGGAATGCTTAACGTCGAAAAGCTGAATTAACAACATACGGCGAATTTATTCGCCACTCGACTCTCAAACCGTCCCTCAGAGAAAGCTCTTCAAAACCCAGCATATGAGAGCAATAAACCATATTTCCCGCTCATTACGTACCACCGCCGAAGAAGTAGCCGGATTTGAGCGAGCCTGAAAGAACAGCTGGTATAATAAAAAATGTCATGAAGCTGGAAAGAAAAAAGATGTCGCCTACGGGGCCACGCTGCCAGCGGCCGTAACGCAAGCCATAAGGCATCGATATGGGGAGCTGATGAGGTAAAGAGACGTATTTCTATAATAAAGGTAGAGAGACCGAAATACGTGAGTGCGAAGAATTTAAAACTCGAAACTAGAAAGTTAAGTGATTTACGGACGGCTTCAAGACCAAAGCGAACTCCTGACTGATCTTTCGAACATACCTCAATTATCGAGTAAACACTTTTCCACCCCTATAAATGGCAACATCACTGAAACTAGAGCAGAAGATGACGACGGAAGTCATGTACCACGCCTGACCACGACGAGGTCCAAATAACAATTACGCGACTCGAAGACAACATAGTTCCGGCGGCTAGGAGTAAATAATGTTCATGCATCAACTCTTATGCTGAATATGGTCACAAGACCGCATGCCCGACTACTGGGATTTAGGTATGCACTGCCCATTCCACAAGAAAGGTGACCTTAACACATGCACAAGCTACCGAAAGACCATATATAAGGCCTTATTGTGTAAGAGACTGAAAGCTCGTGGGTCTGGTGAAGAAAGATGACAATGACGGTCTCTTCTGTCATGAAGCAAACATCGCTTCTTGGCACCCAATTTCTGTTTGATTTAATTTTTGGGTAAATTTTGCGACACCCTTTACGAAACCAAGTATAGAAACTTTTCATCAGACAATAAAACTATTGTATTTGTCATATTAAATCTCTCCAAATTTTTATTTGCTATATCTACATAGGTGAGTGTTAATCGTAACAACATTATTTTATATGATTTAAAATTTGTCTTTTATATATTTTCTAAATAACAGATTAGTTATCATTGATTTTTTTAACTTTTATAAGTATTACATACTCTTAGCTTTTGTGTAGTATGTATGTATGTATGCATGTTTTTATATCAGAAAATATTAGCATCTTTAATAAACAGTTTTTTATGTTCGATTTCTTTGTTTCAGTTATTGTTCCCAAGCTGATAAGTACAGTACATCACAATGACATTAACAGCGATAGACTCGCTGGCTTTCAAAGCACTAAGTTCGCGCAACATTTTCCTTTGTTTTGTATGTTTGTAGTAGTTATGTACTTATTTATGTATGTAACTAGTAAATCACTCTTAGAATTTTTTTTTCATTATATTTCATTTACAATTACTAAATACGTAAATATATTTGTAAGTAGTTAACGTACGCACAGCTTTGCTTTCTAAAGTAACTATGATAATTAGATAGTATTTAAGTATGTATTTGTTAAGTAGCTGAGACATCAAGTATACAAACAAAGAATTCATTTATTTTTTCTTGAATTTAATCAAGAGTGCATTTTAATTACAATTAGTACCTAAGTCATTTTTCTTATGTTCCGATGCTTATGGACTCTTTGTGACAATAAGTTAATTAAAATTTCTACACTAAAACTAAATTGCAAATACTCACAACTATTCGCTACGTAAGTAATATGTAGTGCGATTTTTAAAACGTCGCAAATTGGCATTTTTGCGAAATGGCAATATTGTTAACAAAGTTGTATGATCGACCCATCGCAACTCCGGATTGCAAATAGGGATGAAACAATACGAGTAAATACAAGTACATACTCGATACTTTTCGATCGAAACCAAATAATTTTGGTATCGAAACTCGATACTAACTTCATTGCCTTTCTTAATAAATATGTAGCAATATGTTATCAAAGAAACTATACAAAGAAGAAAAAGAGTAGGTTACATAGAGTTGATAAAAAAAAATTCCTCGAAAAAACTGAAATATTCCAGAAAATTTAAACGCATCTCTTTGCTTCTAGTCTGGGGACAAGTGTGTGTCAAATACTAAAATTGTTTTAGTTCGCGGTATCAAAGAATTTTTTATTTTTTTTTAATTTCATACATATCATTTTGTTTCTATACCCTTCACACTTCCAATTGTATGTAGAATTCTATCAGGTGAAGTAGTTAGGAGAAATGTTTGAAACTAAAGTACTATTTAAATCTTTGGCTCATAACCTATGTACATATTTAATAGTACATTTCCACTGCACTGAAATTTTTGGAAAAACTTTTATTCCTGGGAAGTACCATAAAAGAGGACTTTTCCTCAGAAATACTTTATGAGCAAATTTTTTTCTTAAACGAGGTTAACTTGATTTATCTGAGTTAAACACCTTAAACGAGTTTAACTTTTTTTAATCTTTTCCCTTTAACGTTCTATGTTAAATACCAATCATCATTAAACATATAGTTGGGTGTTTGGCATTCCCAGATAAAAGTTAACTTATGACATAAAAAAAATGTAATTTATTTAGTTCATAAGGAATACTTTCATAGTCAAGAGTATCGATATGAGTAGATATCGATACTTTAGATCCGATATTTTTTAGGTAGCGATACTTTCTTTCGAAACTACATCCATGTATAAATATCGATACCTGCATGGTATCGTTTCATCCCTAATTGCAAATGTAAAATTAAAAAAAAAATGCCGCGCGTTAGAGAAAAAGACAATTTTTTACAATTCGAAGCAGNCGTTGCCAAGTCAAAGTCGCGAAACATATCGAGCCCTAACCGCCAAAATAACGTAAGCGACATTTTTTTCAAAATTTTCTTTTTGATGCAGAAATATTCCCAGAGCTTCTAGATACATTTCTGCAACAAAAAGAAAATTTTGAAAAAAATGTCGCTTACGTTATTTTGGCGGTTAGGGCTCGATATGCTTCGCGACTTTGACTTGGCAACGATTGCCAGCTCAAATACCATGGCAAAGTCGCACGAAAGTTTACATATAAAAGTAATCAGCTGGTATCGCATGGTGGAAAATTGTGTGACAAATGCGATATTTGCAACCACTTTGCGACGTTTCATGAATCCCACTAATAATTATTACTAGTTTTTAAGGTAATACTTCCATCATGCGAAATACTTTACGTTTTCAAATCTTGTGTTCTTTGTTCGAACCGAACATACACACTTATGTATGTATGTATATTTCTGCACTCATTTTTTATATCAAGAGTATATATACAATAATTTTTCCTCTAAAAACTTTTAAGATTTTTCTTAAGTAAATTATTTAAGAATTGCATATTTACGATAGAAAAATACTTTGCTTTGTTACTTATTTCAACATTTAGATAATGGGATAACTTTACATTCTCTTTTAAAGATAAAACATATCTATTAACTACAAAATTAAGCAAAAAACTTCAAAAAATAGATACATATATACAAACAAACAAAAATAGCAAAATGCCATAATGAACAAGAAATAATAGAGTACTTAAGTACATAAGTGTATGCTTAAGTACAGGCAATTCCTTCAATTACAATTACGCAGGTGTTAAGGTTTTAAGGGTTAGTTATATATTTCTTTCTATGCGGGAATAGTTGCTTCCTCGTAGAAATCAGGTTCGTCCTCATCTTTGACTTCATTTCCATCGAGCTAAACAAAGATAAAACAAAAGATGATATAAGCGATAATATTATAATAAAGTACCAGGGTATCAAATCATGATCACTTAGATAGCTTTAATGTTACTGGAATTTTTTATTTAACCTTACGATATATGTACATACTAGGGATGTTAATTTTTCGGCTTTTTCCGATCCCGGGAATAGTCTCGGGATTTAGATATTTATTACTTTTCAAGAACTTGAATCGAAAAAATTGCTTCTAGGTATATTGTTTGAGAAGCTCTTCTACCATGAAATAAATAATAAATAAATGGGTTTGAAACCAACTTTTTTATTTAAAGTGACGTTTTTATTTTTTCTCTCTGACCGCAGGATTCATTTTGAAGGACTTTGTAATTTCAAAGATATGATTAATTCCAAAAATTTAATGCAATGTGGAATAAAAATGTTAGTAACACTTTCAAAAGAAATTTCTTCAGAATTAAAAAAATATAAATTTTTTGGATTCACAAGAACGAATAGGTAATTTTTAAGCTGACAAAGTTAGAAAAACGAAATTCGAGGATGCTATCGAGTTTATATAAGCCCTTAACATATAATTTTTTTTCAAAAATAAATATTGCGAAATTTCAAGAATAAAATTTTAAAATGACAATTTCAATATTTACCAGCTCTTCTGCACCAGAAACGTGAATCTGTTTAAATTCTTCAGGATTTCCTATTTAATTTTATACCCATACATCTTCTCTAAGCACATTTCCCTGAATTTTTTAAATCATTTTTGAATTACTGACGTCCGAGTGAAAAACTAAAAACGCAATTTTACTATATTTGGCCCAGGGTTTCGCGAATAGACATTTATAATAAAATATTAATTAGTAAACAAAAAAAGAAATATAGCCATATAGAAATATAGTACTGGTCAAGAATAGGAGCTTCTATTATTGCCATCAGTGCAAATTACAAATCTCGAAAATCCCGGGATCACTTGCCAAGAATCCGGGAATTTTCGAGACCTTAAAAAGTCCGGGATCCCGGATCTTCGCTATTACATACATACATATGCATGTATATAAATGAAAATAAAGAACTTTAAAAAGTATATTGATAAACAAAAAAAAAAAAATTTCATATATTTTAGCCTACCCAAAACCTCATAAATCTATTAGAAAAATATTTAGGAAATAAATAAAAAAAAATTAGCTTTTGATAACTAATTAATTAGAAATCGGATGTAAGCATTCACGAAGTTTGCATGCTGTATGCGTGAAAAAGTGTGAACAATTCATGAGCGGCTATGAATTTCCAGAAATAAAGTCATATTCTGTCGAACTGTACTTTGTTCCTTTTTAAGTACATTTCTCTTAAAATTTAAGTACTATACAACATCACAAAATGGTTGTTTTATTTTCAGTCTTGTGCGAAATTTTAGTGAACGGACGTATCCTGTGATCTTATTTTCGGCACTAACAGGGCGTTTACATGATATGAATTTGCATACATATGTAAATGCAACCGTTTCGTTTGTACTCGTACGTGCCATATATTAAAATGCATCAGAAAAGTATAATTTATGTACATATGGAAATATATTTATATCGTGTTAGAATGCTTTAACACTGATGACAATATTTTTTTTTAATACAATTTTACGAAAATTTCGTAATAAAGTTGCCATGCAAATTTAAATAACTTAGCTCATGGGCCTATCCATGCAGGAGACTTACCGCTTGCAGCTGCTGTGGCGAATAGATCATCACAAGGCGCTGCCTTACCGGCACCATAAGTATTAAGAAGAATGGAAAAGCCAATGATATTTTGGACGATTTCACAGCCCAAAGTATTGTGAGACAAAGCAATTGTATTGTGGTGAACAGGTGCATCTTCCAAGTGGGCACCCGCTTCACATACGGCGTGGGTGGATAATGTTTTACAGGCATGAAGTATAGTCTCATTCTATAAAGAAAAACTCGATTAAAGTAATTAAGTAAGTATAAGTGGTAATGGAAATGTAAATTTACCTATCAAAGAACTGCACGCCACTCATAGATGCGATACCCATGTACAAGAATACGCCAAACAGTACCGCCATAGGCACCAAACGCAACAGTGGTGCCATTGTCACCGACAAACCAATCATAAGTGCCACGAAGAAACCGGACAAACGCTGCTCTTTCACATCAATAATGCGTGGCGATTCACCAGGAGCATGGGTTCTGAAAATTTATAATTTTAACTAGCACAAAGAGTAGTGCAAAAGTAAATAAATTTTTTGCTCACCTTGACATCACCGTTAGCGCAGAAACGTGTGTTACCGAACGTACAGTGGCCGCACAATGCCACGGCGTACCGAAGAAACCGCAACATGTATTCAAAAAGCCTAATATCACAATATCCAAATGCAATCCCGAGCCCTTTTTCAGTCCACGCTCCGGATTGTCGACAATTAACTCAGAGATATGCGATTCCATAAAGATGAGGATGTATACCAAAATAGCTGGTATGCCACACGCAAACGGTATCCAGATGGGCACACCACCTAGGGGCACCAACCAACCGCGCACTTCCGGATCGCTGGGTGAAATACCCTCTGGCACGCTGAGTTTGTCCGTGTACACTTGTGGTATTAGATAGTCAATCAAAACAAAAATCGCTATGGCGATCGGCACACCAAAGTCACCCAGCGCACGGCGAGCATTTCGTCCCAGGAAATGGGAATTGCGGAAGAGTTTCAGATAGTAGGCGATAGTGAAGGTGCCCAAGGTGAGTATAGTGCAAAAGAGTGCTGTATTTGGCATATTTGTGTATGGTGCATTCGGCGAAATTAAGCCAATGTGGGACGTAATATTTGAAGGCGACATCTCTGTGGTCACATTGCCGAAGCTATCCATGGTCGTATTATCGAAGCTCTGCAATTGCGGCGCAAGTGTTGCTGGTGGGAAATTATAGTCGGCCAGCAGTGGGTTCTTCTTATATACAGATACTAGCTTCGTTAAAGTCTCATAGATATAAATCAATGTGATTAAGGCGGAGAAGATTTCTTGCGTGAAACGCGTAAATAGGCGCACATAAACGCTGCACTCGAATGCTGACAACGTGGTGGCAATAATGGCCAGCCAAACGCCGATATAGGCGCGTATAGTGAGAAAAGGTAAATTATTCTCGCGACAGAAGTTTATCAGCGCCTCATCAAAAAGCAGCAGTGGACCCGTGGTACCTATAATGCCGAGCGGTTGTCCGGAAATCGTATGAAAAATTATACCACAAAGTGCTGTACTCAACAACGTCTCCGAAATACCAATTAAATTTCCTGTCTTTTCAGAGGCCAGACCACCGAACGTGATGGCCGTCGAGAGGCAGGCAAAGTACATGAAAATCGTGGCGGCTAGCGTTTGCGAGTTAAGGCCGTCCGTAATATCGCTCTTATACATGGGCAAACGACGCTTAAGATCATTACGCAAGCCGCCCCACCACTTGTGTGTCTTTTCCATCGGATTGATTTTCTTCTTCCCATCCAAAGTATCCAGTTGTGGCTTCTTTTCAACAACTACTTTAGTCTCTTGCTTTATTTTCTCCTTCAATTCATTTTTCACCTCCAACGCCTTTCGCTTGCGTGAGCGAATCCAGTCCTTCTTTGCTTTCAATTCCTCAAATGGCAAGAGATCTTGACGCTCCCAATTACCCGGTGGCAACACAATAGAATCATCCAAGAATTCGTTGATGGCCGAAAGCAGATCTTTGCGATCATCTGCCTTGTATGCGATTGCATGGAATGGTTCGTTCGCCATTAGCGTAGCAATGGAGCGACCCACTTCATGATAGTCCAAATCGAGTGTTGGTGGGCCCATGAGTATGAACATGAAGCGCACCGGCACAGCTACCTCGGTCAAAGTGGGCATAAGCACACCTTCGGCGAGACGCACAAACGCAATGGTTGGCTGCTGTAGAAAGTCTACCGCGCCCACCTGTAGAAAGCAAGATCGTTTCCCTTTTTTTAGCAAAGTGTTTGTGTAAACTAATTATTCATCTGTTCTTACCAATACAGTCGTCGCTTCAGCACCCACTGGTATACGCTTCAGGATGGTATCGTTCTGTAGCTTTTGTAGGTTCTCCTGCGACGATGAATACATGTCGTCCCTCATGTCGATCTTTAAATCATTGCTACGTTTGCTGCCACCAATTTCGCTAGCAGGCATTATCTTCGGCCGTTTGTCTTCTCCAGACAGGTTCTGAGGAGGTAATATCGGAATTTTGTGTTAAAAAATCACAATTGGCAAAAAAGTTAACCTTTATAAAATTGTTTCTTTTTCGATAAAACTACAACTGTAACCAAAGCTTTTAAGTTCAAAAAGGCATTCTACTACCTTAAAAAGCATGCAGCTACTTCATGTGAAGTTATAACGGATACGGAAATGTAATAAAATATTGTATATACAGGTAATATGTTCATAAAATACAAATTCTTTTTGCTTTATAGCAATGCATGCATATCGGAACCGCGTAAGAAATTGAGAAAATTATTCATTGAAGAAAAAACGGTTTTAGGTACATTCTCTCGAAATTTAGATTAATCAGCCTTAAAACTCTTGTAGAAGAGTACTGGAAATTTGTAACTCATTTGTTATTTTTTTATACTCAAATGCGGATATCCTGTTACCCTATTAAATAAGTATCCAGGATACTAACGTAACACACTAGCCAGGAAGAAATTATCTATGCAACGCCCTTCCTTATTTCGTCCAATCTCTGACAAAGTTGGCCCATTAAATGGTTTTTACGACATCAAAATAGGCCAAACACTATATTTTGGGCATAAAAGGAAGCAGCGCATAAAATTGATGCACATAACAAGAAAAATGAAACTAGAAATCATGCCGTAAAAAACATTGACCTGCATTCCCACTGAATTTGTAAATGTTATTTATTTGTTAAATAAACCTTTTAGGGACCGTACACCTATCGAATGATTGACCTCAGACAAGGGTAAGTGTGAGAGGAATGTATAGAAATCATGCCAAAATTTACATGCATCATTATGGGAAATTGTAGAACAACAAGCTTATATCTTTCTTGACTTATACATAAAATACAACTACTTCGATTACAAATATTTCGAATTTGAATTTAAAATTTTACCTAACTACTGAACGCATGTTGCCCTTTTTGTATTTTTCTACAATATTTATGCCTATGAAAGGAGTCTGCATAAAACCAACTACGATCTGTATAATAGCTGAAGTACAATGCCGGCGAACGGCGAACTCACCACCGCGAAATTCGTGCTGCCTGCAAGCATATGAAATTGAACACAGCCAAAGCGAAATGTGAAATTCGCTCGCCGGCGTTTCGAGGCGATAGATTTATCTCTATCGCCCTGCTGAGCGATGACAGCTGTACGTGCCAAAGGTGGCCGTATTTCTTTTTTCAAAGTTTTAGAAGAAAACAACAAAAACACGAATTATTTTTGCTATTTGAAAAATACAGTTGCGGATTCGTTAAGACCGGCTTGCATTAAAATAATTTATAAAATTTTCCTTTGTTTTATATTTATATTTGTTATAATTTCCTCATTTCCAAATACGATTTGGTTTTTTCTAAATATGGTCACCCAAATCATAAAGGCGACCAAATGGTATCAGCTGTTTCCGCTACCGCTCTAATTCTGTTTAAGTAAGCGAAATAGTTGGGCGAACGATGAACGACAGCATCGCCAAACTCGGCGAAGTTTGCCGTTCGCCGGTATTATATTTCAAGCATTAGAGATACGCGCGTGAGCAAACAAAAACAAAATTGAGCCACCCTCACGCAGGCACAAAAATATCGGACTCACGTCAGTCACGCGACATCACGCTCATAAAACCAAAGTGTTTTTACTTTTGCAGTATTTTATACGAAAAAAAACTCTTTTATTAAAAAATAATAATCCAAGTACACGAAGGTATCGATATATTCACGAAACTATAGGCTATACTGCGTTTTTAGTTTTTCACACTGACGTCAGAATTTTTTTTCAAAGGACTAAGAAATTTTAAAGATATTATTAATTAAAAAAATTATTAAAAAATCAGTGCCATGTAAAATAACAATATGGGTGCCAAAGGAGAGAGCAAATTGTGCAGAATTTAAAAACGATAAAGTTGTTTGGTTAAAAAGGACGAATAGGTATTAAAGATGCGCTTTCAATAATTTTTTTTTTTTTTGAAGTTAATAAAGTTTGCAGGGCGAAATTCGATGATGAGGTCGTATATTAGTCCTCAAACAATATTTTTTTTTTTTAATAAATATTGCAAATTTTTAAGGATATTTAAAGATAAAATTTGTAAAGGATATTTTTCAGTACCTATTCGTCCTTATGCACCAACAAAAATTTAAACGCTTTTAATTCTACAGAAAATTTTCTTTTATATGATATCCTCATTATTATCCTGCATTTGAAGTAATCATACTTTTTATATTTCAAAGTACTTAAAAAATCCTGACGTCAGAGAGAAAAATTAAGTATGCAGTTCTCCTATAATTTACCAATCGTTTCGCGAATATATTATTTTTTTATATGTAAAATTTACTGTCGCACATTTTCGGTTAGATTCAAAATTCAAACAAATTGAAGTCAGATCGTCCAGACTTTTTTTCCAGATCAAAGATGTGCGTGGCCTGGAATGGTCATGATTCAACACAACTTCTTTTTGGTTGACAAATTCTGGTCTCTCTTTCTGGATCGCTTCGTTCAAACGGCCGAGTTGAGAACAGTATAGGACCGAATTGATCGTTTCTCCAGGTTGTAGCAGTTCATAAATGGACAACACACTTCCAAACCCACCGAGCACTCGACATAACCTTGTTTGTCGTCAATCCAGGCTTTGAAGTCGATTTCGCAGGCTCATTTGGCATATTTCTTCAGATATTTCCATCGTTTTCAAATGAATGTCAGCTATCAAACGCACGTACGTTTGACGCGCAAATGGATTAGCATTTCTAAAAATATATGATCATCAACAACGCACAATGACAAATAATCCGCAGAGACTTTTCGTATGTCCCAATACTAAATTATTGGTTGTCTTTCGCGTGCCTAGGAACTTTAAAGCAGTCTTACATTTGCTGCAGCTATGCGGAACTAAAGCAGATGACAGATAAAAATTTGAGGCCAGACGCAAAAGGTATGCCACAATGCACGTCAAGAAAAAAATTTTATACTGCTTTTGCATTTTCATACATTTCATCTTATCTGTCAAAGCGAATCTGGCACGCAACCCGAAGCAAAAGTTTTATCTGACATCAGCTTAAGGTTTCACTATATATTTTCTTGATGTGTAAGCAAGTAAACCAATGCATTTTTGGCAATAAGAGTATAGTTTGTACCTAACGTCGCCTCTTTGAAGCAGTTTTTTAAATTTATGTAGCTTTTCTCTGCTCATAATTCACAATTTTCGCAATGAGAGCGGCTACAGCCTCAATAAGTATGCGAATGCAACTTGCTACTAAATATTTGTTTAACATATCTAGTTTGATCTTTCTACTTAGTAGCCCGCGTTATGCGTTGCAGTTTTGTAGGCTTCACTCAAATCTTTTATTTTCAGTGTATTCGAAAAATTGCCAAGAGAACTAGATACTTGTTGCAAAATTCATTTCCCATAATTCATAAACTCCAAATAGTTGCTACGTAAAATATAATGAGTAGGTACAATGAGTTAAACGAATCAACACTCGTGTATGTATGTATCTATATAGGATTAAGACTGAAGTCAAGCATTTGATAGTGCAAGGTTTTATGTAATTGCAAGAGTCAGTGTGAATGTGTTTGCTTCTTAACAAAACTAAAAAAATTAACTAGAACAAACTTTGCAAACGAAATAGAGTTTTTTGTTTTTTTTTTCTTTACTCCCAAATATGACATGGTGGAGTGCCGCCGATTGATATTATTGCTGGGATCGACGCCAAGTGAAATGGATGTAGGCGGTGCACTGAGTGTCTCACAAACGGATCGACGCTTTTTGGCATTTTTAATATTCCTATGATGTTGTTGTATTGCTTGTTGTTGTTGCTGATGAAGTTGATGTTGAATTTCGCCGCTCATCCAAAGCAACTTTATATGTGTATGATTTAATTAAATAAAATTTTTATAAAAAGGTATGCGTTTGTGAAAAGAATAATGGGCGAAGCAGTTTTTTGCAGATTTTAATATTTTTTTTTTATGTACGGGCCAATCATTTATTTTCGAATCAAAATAATTTGAATGATTTTCGCAAATTAAAATTACGTGCATGAATAATGAGAAAATAAAAGCATTTAGTTAGAAAAATTAGAAGAAATAGAAAAATATTTGATTAATATACATACATATGTATACTTCTAATGCCCATAAAAAATTTGATTTTTTTTTGTTATTAAATTTGCAAGAAATATAAATAAGCACACAAGCAATTTAGGGTACTTTACTTGAACTCATCCGTTCATCTTTTCCGTTTTGTATCGCTTTTATGCCTAAAGTCAATCAATAACCATATTTTCTTGTCCATTAAGTACAGCGAATTTTCAAAGTTTGCTTTTGTGCCCATTTTACAGTGCATACTTGTTTACGGCAAGACTATCATAACTCAAATAAACACATTTTTTCCCGAAGCTCTGTAGCAAAGCTTCAAAGCGAGGCCATCGCACAGGGAAAACAGAGATACAATTTTCATAAAACGGTATTTAATTTAACTGTCATTTTGTGGATTAATGCTCGTTTTTGATATCTTGAGTTATCACTTTCTTACACATATACAAAAAATATGAAAAATACAATAGAAAATCTTTGTAATGACTTTACTGTTTTGGCAATCGCTGTTGATACTTTATTGCCATTCGGCGGTGATTTCTGCTTGCACACGCACACATATGACATATGATGAAGACAGGAAGAGTGCGCGGATTATGATAATTTTTTTGATACATGTACGTACATATGTATGTATGAATGTAGTTAAAGTCGTGTATGAGCGAGCGGGTGAAGACATTTTGATGCCGACATTTGCAACAAAAAGACATTAAAACAAAAATTTGTGAATGTCCAGCATATTCGGTGGATGTGTAAGCACGACAACAACATTGACGATTATTATGCAAAAAGAATGTGGATTAGAGTGGAAACAGAAATAGAAGGAGAGTAGAAAAACTGTTTTATAATGAGGGATAAGTTTTTTGTAATATTTTCATAAATTTTGCGTATATTTTTTTGTTTTGATTACTTTGAATAACAAGAAAAAAATACTCGCACACATCTACATATGTATGTATGTATGTATATACGGATGTAAATATGTCTTCGTCAAAAAAGGCACCTAATTTTTAACTTGTGCAGGGGAATCAAAAAAACCTTAATATTAACAAAATAATGGCCCTTATGGCTGGCAATGTATTTCGCAAGGATATTTCAACAACTTTTTAAGCTACCTTAATTAAACGCATGTGGTCATGACTACTTAAATTTCAAAAGAAAATGTGTTGCAGTGCTTGGAGTGTGCTCGCGCTATTTCTAGCTCCCTAACTTCCCGCGGGCTACGTAAAATAGTCACGGACAGAATATCGCCGCGTACTCTCTTGACGAAGAGACGTTTTTATTTCTTAATCCAAGTTTGAAGTCAAAGTATGGTTTTTGTGTTTCTAAGTTAACGATAACAAACTACTTTAATATTTTTGATAAAACACAGTTCGTTCTTTTGAAGTGAAACTTCTTTAGCGGCAGATGGTTGGTTGGGTGTAAATTGGCAAATTCAACGGAAATGGTTGGGACGGTAACATCCCTGCAGAAAATGTGACTAGCCTAGAACTAGCGTAGAACTAGACCTTTTGCCCGACAGTACTACTTCTAGCTCAATACCAAAGCAATGCTTTCAACTGTCCAGTTTTACACGGCGATGTCATTGGCGGTGGCAATTGTCGCCCAGTGCATTACTTTGCAATCAGTTTTTAACCGTTTCGATTTTGGAAAGGTTTTTTTTTATAAGAAAACGTTTTTTTTCTTTTACAGATTCCGTTTTTGTTACATATGTTATTAAAAAAATATATATATCGTAAGCTGCACGCAACAATTTAAATTCTTTAAATTTGAAAACTCACAACCGCCTCCACCGCGATTTGAACTCGCGACCAACGATGGTTGAGTCGGAGGTCTTCTCACTGAGCTACTTTCGTATTGTACGAGTAGTGGGTTTCAACTGTCCCGCTCTGCATTCCTTTTGCACTAGTTCAGAGATAGTTCTGAGATAGGTAGTTCGGAACTAGCGCTTTGTCAGACTGTCTCTTAATTTTACCGCAGGGTACATACATGCACATGTGTGGATGTATATTGGGGCGGGTCGATTTTTTTCCCAATAAAATCGCATAGGCGGAAAATATTCTACGTATCATTCCGAACAACTTTGCTTATGAAACTATGGGTCCAAAATATATTTCGAGATAGCGAATTTTAAGGTGAAGTTTCATATCAGATAATAGAAAATTTGTTGGGAAAAACTCAAACAAATAGCTGATTTATGTATGAATGTATGGGTACAAAAAGCAGTTCATTTTTTAAAATACTTATATAACTAAGTTTTTAAGTCCTGCTTGCTTTCCAAACGTGGTAATCTTTTCGACTAACATCTGTTCTAGCCATAAAATTTTCACGATATTTTTCCGCTACTCGCTTAGAAACACTGGTTAGCAGTTGAACGTATCGTTCAGTTCCTTGTATGTGACATGAAACTTGTGGGTCAGGAAATGATTGGTGTTCAAATTCTAAAAATGCTTTCAAATGGTTATGCGGAATGTAGTAATAACCGGTTCTTTTAAAACATTTTAATCTTCAAAATCTATCGTAATGAAATAATTAGAGCAGTCAAAATTAATTTTTTCATTTCTAGTACTACTTGAAATAGGACGTTTTTGAACAGTTTTCCAAAAATTTACAATATTATTATTTGTCGTCTAAAAATCATTTAAATATTAATTTTCAGTTAATAAGTTTCAGTAGTTACTAAAATATCGCAGTTTTCATATTTCTGAAAACCGAGGTTATATGGGAGGTAGGCGCGGTTATTGTCCGATTTTTCCTTAAAAGAAGTACACACACCAAATTTCGTTAAAATATCTTAATTTTTAATCAAGTTATCGTGTACACAGACGGACAGATGGACGGACGGTCGGACAGACAGTCACCGCTTAATCGTTTTTTTTTTCAATTCTGATCATTTATGTATTTAAAAAAATAAACTAAGTTTTGTACCCCTACACTAATAGATTAGCTATTTGTTTAAGTTTTTCGCACACAATTTTTTATTGCCTGATAAATATGAAACTTTCCCTTAATATTCGCTAGCTCGAAATTGGTTTTAGACCCATAGTTTCTTAAGCAAAGTTGCTCAGAATGATCCGTAGAGCATTTTTCGCATTTGCGATTTTTCCGTTTTTCTACAAATCTACCTGCTCTAGTGTATATATGTGTATTCATACATGAACTCATAAATCGCTAGCTAAGGGTGAAAAGTTGCTGCTAAGTCCACTTTTTCTAAACAAATTATTTTTTTAGAAAGAAGCAAGAACAATTAAAAATGCATCGTTTTCCAAAAGATCGATTTGCCTAAGTATTTTAGTTTTAACTGTTTCTATGCAGTTATGCGAAAATTTGCTAAAAAGTGCGTGAGGAATATGGGTTTGAAAGGTTTTCATTATCTCCTGCAAAATTAAAAAAAAAACTGGACTAAGCAACTCTATGCTCTAAGCTCGCAAAATATATATGTACATGTATACTAATATGAAGGTATAGTTGATAGAAAATAAGAAAGGTATTAGTATACGTAGATTAGATCAAAAAATAAAAAATAAGGTGATATATGCAAATAAATATATAATAAACGACACATGAGCAAATGTAATTGTAAAAATAGGAATCAAAAAACATTACACTGTAAGGAAAATATCATGTTTTGAAATTACACAAAAAACGCCAAAACACTTGAACCTTAAGATTGGGTCGTAGATTACGGATCTGTATACTAGTTTTCCAGATCAGGCCGTTTCGCAAGGATATTTTCATTTTTATGAAAAAATAATCAATTTTGAAATTTTTTTAAAATAAAAAAATAACTAATCTTTTGTAATTTTTTTTTTTAATTTGTTTAAAGCCTGTTTTTTGCCAAAAAATCAAGGTACTAGCGATGAAAATCGATGGATAAATATACAAGTTTTGCATGGTTAAATGAAAATTGCAAACATTTTTTGTATTAAATAGCGCCACGTAGTACATGAGCGCACCCATACACACTCGTACATGGCGTATGAGTATCATTTTCCATGTAACAGTTTGAATTCTTATTCATTCGCAAATCAAACATAAACTGAAAATATCTCTGGAAAGACACCTGACCTAGAAATACGGTATACGGATCTATAATCTACGACCCAAAATTAAGTTTACATACCTCGGCGTTTTTTGACTCATTTTAGCGTGAAACTATGTAGATAATATGGATTAAAAGAAATGGTATGTACATAGGAATCAAACCTTCATATTGTTACCTCAATACATATGTACATACATACATATAGGAAGGCACTCACTCAGTTCGTTTCGAAATTTAGCTTTGTAAAAATGTCAGTAGATTGCTCACTAAAGACATCATAGAATTCAAAAGCAACTACTATATCAATAAATTATTTGCAGTTTTTATTAAAACCAGTATTTTCAAGAAGTTCGCAACTACAAAACTTTAATTTTTACAGGCCTTAGGGCCTTTCTACATTAATGTAACGATATGTATAATTAAGGCAACCGTACGGACATGTTTCATGTTTTGAAATATATGTAAAATCGTATGTTTGTTAACTGATTATATGACATTGTTAGCCGGTAAGCAATTCGCTTGCTGATACATTAGCAATGTGTGCACAATTACAATAAGTATTAGTATACACAAAAACAATCATACTTATACATAAAAATGCATGTATTCTTCACATACATATATAGTACATAGGTATCTGCCTATAATTGCAGATAAATGTGAACTTTGAAGCTTACCTGCAAGCTTGTGTAGCTGCTATATTTCCGTTTCGTAAACGGAAAGCCGCTTTGATGTTCATTCACGTGTCGGTGACGCAACAGTAGTGAGCGCATAAGCGCTGGCTTGTCTTCGGCATTAATTAGCTCGTCGACAACCATCTGTACAAGTGAAAAAAATAAATGAATAAAAATAAAAATAAAAACGTTGACAGAAAAGGTGTACATGAGAAGAGTGCGAAATAAGCAGATAATGAGAAAATCAGGCAGTCAGTTGTTTGGCTTGCTCACCTGTTCGACAACGCGATAAGCCACGGCAGGCAGATCCTTCTCATTCAAATCGAGTAGCACTACGCCCGTTTCGAGACAGCGGCGCAAATTGAGCAACGAATGGAAGGAGAGTGAAGCAACATGCGGTTTGCCCCAACGATCGGAGCCTTCCTCAACATCCTCTTCATACTTGATCCAACGCGCGGTTTCTTTCCATTCACGATCCTCGCCAATGCCGGTGAGTTCATCGAGTTGTACGAAAATCTGGGGAAAATTTAATATGATGCATTTAATAAATGGCATAAAAATCCTCTTTGCAAATTTAATCGCTTTCATATGCTCCTATGTAATTTACCTCATGCGGACTATGATCGTAGACCTTCTTCAGCTGCAAGCCCGCCACACTAATCTGTGGCAGCTCGNTCATCGGAACGATGAGATCTCAATTCATTGAGATCAGCCTCCTGTTTAATTAATGTGAAAATTAAATGTTTAATTAGAGAATTAAAATACTGAAACAACTTAAAGCGTGGTGAAACAACCTGTTTAACTGGCTGTTGTGCCTAAATTTGCAGTTTACATTTTTTGGTAAGCATAAATTTATTATTTTTTTTTATAATTTTTATGTATAGAAAGAGGGTGAGAGAAAAGCACATATATAAAGCAATTTATGAGTGATACTTTCCTACAAATATGTTCGTAGTACTTCTTTTTAATACATTTCTACTAAATAATAATAATACCATAATTTCGATCTTATTCTAAAATCGGATAAAGATATTTTTTTTCTGAGTCAAGAATTTATCTTAAGCATAATAGCCAAATTGCCCAGCAAAATCACCAACATTCGTTGCGAAATCGCCCAGCAACGTAATTACGTTCATTATTCCGACCCAACGAGAATCAAACTTGAATTGATAATGACTGTGGAACTCTTGGCTATGTTTGGCTTTTAGCGCATTTAATAGAACGAGGGATTTTTATGAGTCCGAATTTAGGCTGATTTGAAAGCCTTGGAATTTTTGGGGCAATCTGGTTATCAAAAGGATGGGGTCCTTACGGGGGTGTTACTTTAAAAAGACCAACAATGGATATCGCATTCCCTTGAAGCTGAGATGAGGAAGTTAAGATCTCTACTTATAATGTGTTTCCTTTCTCTAAAAGAATGTTAGTGGAATCAAATGTAAGGAACATTTTTTTTTCAACAGTTTTAGACTTGTTTATTTGGAAAAAGTGTACAAAAAGTAAGCGGTAGAAATTATCACTGCTAATTCGGTCTAAAACCCACCGACCTAAGTCACATATCGATACGCTATATCTACACTTTTCACAAAAATGAGATGCGGATATAAAAATCAACTTAAACCTTAACTGCCATCGGTGATATTAATGCCGACCTTGTGTAACGCGTAACAGAAGAAATTACTATTAAATTCCAAAGCAAATTACACAGTACTAGGGATGTTAATCCAATCCTCGGGATGCCGGGCCTTTTTTAAGTGCGAAATTAGATATTCAATCCCGGGATTTTCGGGATTGGTAATTTGCAATGGTGGCAATAATAGAAACGCCTTATGTTGACCAGTTTTTACTATAATTTCTGTATTATTTAATATTTATTTATTTTTTTATAAATGTCTAGCTAATACATACATACACATAACACCGTGCAACACAATATGTTACACACAAAAAATCAATATATCGCGAAAACTGGGCCAAATAATCCAGTAACAATTGCGTTCTATTTTTTCTCTTTGACGTCAGGATTTTTTAAAAGGGCTTTGAAAATAGAAATAATATTCTAAATTGCACTGACTTTTTTAAATAATTTTTAGAATTTATCACATCTTCTGAAATTACAAAGTTCTAATAAAAAACTAGTTCTAAAATTAAAAACGCAGTTTTATTATATTTGGCCCATAGTGTGTGATACTTTTATAAAAAAATTAATTATAAATAAACAAAAGAAATGTAGACTAAACTGGTTGAAATAAGGCGTTTCTTTTATTTTTGCTACTAGTATAATGAACTCCTTTCAGCCACCCAATACATAAATTGTTGACTTAGTTCATTTTGCATCGAACTTTTTTCGACATGCCTTAAGTTACTTTATCAGATATATACTCGCTAAAGTATTGCTTAAATAGCGTATAAACTAAATTACGGTCTATTGTTTTGTTATTAATGAAATATTTTTCAACTTAAATAATAAAGTAGGTTTCAAACCCATTATTTAGTGTTTATTAAATGGAAGGCAACTTCTCAAACTATATTGATGCAATTTTCATGTTAATTTATTGAAATATTACTAATCCCGGGCTAATCCTGGATGAGTAGTGCGAACAATGTCCCGAAAACCCGGAATAGAAAAAATGTAAAAAGTTAACATCCGTAATCAGTACTGACGGGTAAGTCCCACAATAGGTTCTAACATCACAGAGTAATTTGTGAAAATTGCAGATAGAGGGTGTTGAATATACGCCTTCGATATGCAATAAAAAATGCACTTGGCCCCATGAAAGTAGATATTGAATGGTGCTACTTAGGAGAATTTCTAGAATTCTTGGAAGCCTTCAAACGTTGATCTTTTGAGAAAAATTACAACCAGTTTTTGGTGATTTATTAGAAGCTACTTCATTTAAGGTTTATACGCCTCATTTAAAAGTTCAAATGGTTCAAAATGTGTAATAGCTTTTCCAAATTTTTACTGCGTGGTGTTCGATAACGACAAAAAATTATCCAACACACAAAAATTAAGAGAGCGAGCGTTCATTTTGATGCAAGAGAAGCGTTCATTTTTTACTGGCAAAATTTTAGCCAGCAAAAATTATCTATCACGATCTTATGATCATAAAACATATGGTTGTAATTTTTGTAAATAAACAAAAATGAATTTTTCGAGTTTTGGCATTTATATGCTTTTTAGCCGCCTACTACGTGCTTTAGTGCTAAATAGTTTTTACTTCAAGAAATGTTCCTGGCGAACATTGAACGTTCACTTTCCTTTTTCCTTCCATGGAGGCAACATGAATTTCAGTTTGTTTACAAATAAAACANACATAGTCAGCTGGTGTGTCTTCATCTTCCAGTTATTGTAAGTGATGGCTAATTTCCTGTTCGTTTACTTTTTTTGCTTTTTCTTCTCTTTGGGAGAGAAATTTCGCTTACGCTCTTGATTTTGATTGTTGGCTGGTGTTGACTAATTTTGTTATCGAACACAACTATTATGTCTATATGTGCATTAGGGTGGTAAAAAAGTAAAGTCGGAATTTTAGTGCTCTCGTCCACTGAATTGTTCTATATCAGAAAAACATATCACTCGTTTTTATTATGAAACCAAATAATATTTAGAGGACGCTCAATGTCCTTAAAGTTTTCCAAGTACAATTTTATATGAAAAAAAAAACAATTGTTCGCAGAAGTGGTATATAATTCTTGAAAAACAATATTTTTCAATTGGTAATCTTAGTTTGTCTTCAGAAAACTTCCTTTTATAACACCCCATTCTTTATTTAACCATTTTTCAATACTAACAATTTTTTTTGGGTCCCTCCTCCATTGCGTTTCTTTGAGTTTTTGGGATTTATAAAAAATAGTTACCCAAGAAACATTTAGGTTAGAGAAATATTAGAAAACGATTCGAAATCTAATATTTTTCTAAGAGGAAGGTAAGAAGAAGACTAGAAAAACTGTCAATTATTATAGCCTTCTCTACATAAAGAACATAGTTCTCAATATCGAGAAAGAGGTTAGGTATCTAATCGTATTCTAGCGTTGAATTCTAATTGGTTTCCAATGTCTAATGTTTTTATAATCATCCTCTAATCGCATTATAACATAGTTCCTTAAATTGATTTTAGATTCGATACAATTCTAGTGTAAAATCAAAACACTTCCAGTGGGCGTTAATGGACGAAAATTTAAATGATAAATTTGGGAATTAATTAATGCTGAATGTCCACTACGCAAAAATTACAAAAAATTGTCAACCGTTAAACAAGTTACATTGAAAATACATATACATAAATATATATATATATATTTTTTGTGAATAAGGTTGATTTTAAAGAATTCTCTACCATAAGCTTTTCCGCACAAAAAAATACATCGAACACTTTGAGCGCTTTGAGCGACATTTAAATATTTTTTAATTTCAAAATAAAAAAATAGGGGTATACTTTTTTTCGGTATAGAACAATCCTTCGGGGTGAGAGCATTACAATTCTGACGTTACTGTTTTTGGACCACCTTAATATACATACTTTAAACGCAGTTATGAAATGCTTTATGTGTATAAATGCGTTCTTTCAGTGAAAATCTTTTTTTGATCTCAACTTTATTATGGTTTATGCAATTCCATTTTTGTATGTATTACAAGAGAGCCATTGAGTGAGTCTATAAATGTAAAGATGACTTGGAAATGGGAGAGTTTAACTATACCTTTTGAAAGAATGAAGATTTTTTTTTTGCTCAGGGTCCCCATTTGGGGGCCAGCATTTATAGCAGCCCTAACTTGGTGTGTAATAATTTTTACATACAAACCCAATGCGGGAATGGATCATCTAAACGCGTAAATACCTCGTAAGCACATAAACCTCGTGAACTCATTTAATTTTGCTTGGACAACCGGTTTATTTACGAGGTTTACGTGGTTACGAGGCATTTACGCGTTTAAATGAATGCCCATAATATAACTACAAATGCACAACAAATGTAGCATACTCGTAAAAACTTTGCTGATGTGCGCAAACCAACTTTTCACAAATTAATTTACCTCTAATGTGGTATCCTCCGGTTGCACGGATACCTT